GGAAGAACAACCTTCAGAACATGGCAAAAGAGCCCGAAAAACCCACAATAACCACTGAAGAAGCTACTTGGACGAGAAGCGCAATGTTTCAACCGAACAAGAAAGAAATCCAGTTGCCATGACTCAACTTCCAGATGCATTTCTAATAGCTCACCGCACAGGATAGCTGCTGCATGTAGAACCAAACGTTCCTGGATCTTGTCTCGGTGACACTCTTTAAGGGATTATGACACAGAAGACAATTTAGTGCAGGTCTAGATAACTCACGGTCTGTTAAGACGCATGTTACTCATCAGTCACATATTAGCACCTTCCTTTTAAGGCAGGCTATTAAGCAAGAAGTGTCTCCGGAAGGCTTGGTATTTTAAATGCTTTTTAAAGGGTATTAAAATTGTTTTTATTCTTCAACTTGAAGATATGTTTAATTGTTGTTGTTTTTTCATATGATATTTATATATCCTTTCCAAACTGTTGGTTGTTGTATAGTTTTAGCTGGCTGGGCAGCACAGAAGTGGCTGTTGAGCCAGAGGTTAGGTGTTCAGTTCCCCACTGGGCATCCTAGAAGAACCAGCCTGTCTAGCCTTGGGAAAGCTGCACAATCTTCAAGGTGTACCCTCCATCCCCCCCCCCAGGAAAAGGGAATGGCAAGCCACTTCTAAGCATTCTCTACCCTGAAAAGGGTCACCGGAAATCAGAATTGCCTGGATGGCACACATTGTAATGAATATTATTTAGCTATTGTGAGCCACCTTAGGTCTCTAATGGGAAAAAAAGTGACATACAAATATCAATAAATGAATACTAAATAATATTACAAAACACATGCAAGCTTGAGACACTTAGAGAAAATGCAGAGTCCATGCAAAACGCTTGGTGCAATTTATGATTAAGGGTGAGCCTTCTGCTTACCTCGTTATGTATTTCTTCTACTCCTTTTATAGTTCCAATATCTAGCGATTTCAGAGCCAGGCATCCCAAAGCGGTGTCGCCGTGCAAGTTCTCAAGGGCAGCATTGCATCGGCCCAAAATATATGGCAGGGTCCCCTGGGAGCACTCCAGTGAACGAGTAAACAGAGAAAGACAGATGAATATAAGACAAAGTCAAGCGAACCAACACGCAAAGAGAACCCCACTCCTTTAAAGATGACTAGAACAATCAAATTACAGCTAGGAACTCGTATTTAGCTTTGATAGACTATCTGCCATGGAGCAGTTTTATTTTAGAGATAGTTTACTGCTAGAGTAAGGATTCAAAAGAATGAGTGTAAGTCTTAGAGCTGGGAGCCTGTAGCTTTCCAAATACCATAGAACCATAGTATCTACAGGGGATCGGTTCTAAGCCCCCTGCCCCGTGGATGCCGGAAACCATGGATATAGCGAACACGAAACACAGCATTGTCTCTGGCTTCCTCTAATGGCCAGTTCTGGTAGAAACACCATGGATATATGGATAAATACGTCAGGGTTTATTTATTTATTTGATTTGTACACCATCTCATGAGTGTTAAGATTACAGCAAAGTAATTTTAGAAAAGCACTCGCCATTTTTTTCCAAGCGATTTCAGTGAAACCACATGTTTTTGTAGAATATTTCCACTGCCATTTGGATTCCTGTGCACACTTTGCCTCCTCCAGAAGTCTTTTTTTTTTAAAGCTAGAAAAAAAACTGCGTTGTAAAATTCAACCGTGTTCTGGTTTGGAATTAAAACACCAAGGAAGTGAATGCTTCCTTTCCTGTCCCTGTCTTCTAGAATATTCTGCCTAACTTTGATGGAGCCGGAGTACGTCGGCCATATATGTGAGAAATAATGCAAAGCCAGTCAAAGAAAAAACAGATTTCACAGATGAAGAGAACACAGATGGATCAGGTGGACAAGGGTCCCCCTACACTTCCCACGAGACTTTTCACAAAATTTCCTTTCATACCGAGAAAACAAACAGAACATAAAATGGCCTTTCCTTGGAAGGGAAGGTGGGTCGTAAGGATATGCCTGTATCAAAATGCATTTCAGTTAAATATTCATAAGGGCTGCGGAGGTGGGGGGGGAGAGAAACACCCGGAAGAATAATCTTGGGAAAAGACCATTTGGTGTGATAATTCTTTCAACTGAACATTTCCACAGTATATAATGTGAGGTCACAAAGGTTTATAAAAACAAAACAAGAGCTTCTAAAGACAGAAAGCATTATTTCGGGTGGGTCTTTCTTCATGGCTATGTAAGGAAATAGGGACGTGGTGGCGCTGCGGGCTAAACTGCAGAAGCCTTTGTGTGCTGCAGGGTCAAAAGACCAGCAGTCGTAAGATCGAATCCAGACAACGGAGTGAGCTCCCGTTGCTTTGTCCCAGATCCTCGCCAACCTAGCAGTTCGAAAGCATGCAAATGCGAGTAGATAAATAGGGACCACCTCAGTGGGAAGGTAAAACGGTGTTCCGTTTCTAGTCACCCCGGCCACGTGACAACAGAAACTGTCTTCGGACAAACGCTGGCTCTACGGCTTGGAAACGGGGATGAGCACCGCCCCCTAGAGTCGGACACGACTGGACTGAAAATGTCAAGGGGAACCTTTACCTTTACCTATGTAAGGAAATGTGACTTTTAAGAGACACGGAGAAGGATTATCACATTAATATACATACACGATGATAATAATGATGATGTAAATATGCAGCAATACTTCTATGATATGTGGATCATTTACAGTATTTTAAGTATTTTGACTTGCGTAAAATCTGGAATATTTTAGATGTCCTCTCTGACGACTGTGTATTTTGACAACAGAAAATGGATTGCCATTGATTCGCCACAGTAACTGTGCGGTATAGGTATCAAAGTTGATATTTAAATCCTTCAAAGCACGGGTTTCATTAACTATTGTCCTGGGCTAACAAAAGATAGAGCACGTCTTGAGAAAACACAGCAACAACTTGAGAAGCTGCAGTCAAGACTCTGCTCTTGATCCGAGTTCGGTCCCTGTGGGCTCAGTTAGCTAACTTAAGGTTCACTCAGCTTTCCATCCTTTAAGGCCATCAACTGAATACCCAGCTTATTGGGGGAGAGGAAGCAATGTGTAGCCTGCATAAATAAATTGTAAACCACCCAACGTGCTTTATGTAATACGGGGTGTTATATAAGGCTATGAATTTCTAGAGAAATGTTTTGGTCCTAAAAGAAAGCCTTTGGGGGGTCACTCCTGAAAAATTTAGCTGTGTAAGAAAAAGCAGGAAGAGAACGGTCATCTTCTCTCTTACTCACCTCTGCCACTCTATGGGTGGAGCTGAATCGGGGCTGATGGCCAGCCAAGACACAATGCTGGTGTGTCATATTCATATCATCTAGAAAGAAGTAACAAAGATGGCGATGAAGTTTAGAGATGGGCAGAAAGTTTCATAGCTGGGAAAACGGAGGTTCTAATTCCCCCTGTGAGGCCAACCTTAACTATGGCATCTTTGGGCCAAGCACTAATGCTCGGCCAAACTATCTTCCATGCTTAGTTAGCATGTTTATTTCTTTCTTTGTTAAAGTATTTCCAGTCTGCCCTCTGTCAGCAGGACTCAAGAGTTGACTACCGTCCATACAGCTGCATTAAAACGATCGAAAACTATTTCAAGAGAATAAAGGCCTTCATCCAACTGGTAGACCCACTGCCAACGGGGGAGTCAACACTTACGTAAATCTCTATGGCCTACTCTAGTTGAGACTTCTAACTGGATTTTGTTCTGCAATCCAAAAGCAGATCTAAACCTGTAATCCAGCTATGATCTCACTCAGCCTTCAATGCTTGGGCAAAGGACTGGGTCTTAAAATGTTAAATAAGGACAATATTTATGTCACTTGGGCCTCTAAGGAGAGGACATTCCACAGCCATAGCCAAGACAGCTCTCTCAAATACCTCCTTGTAGGCTAATAGAAGAAATGCCTCTCTGGCAGATGTTTTGGTCAGGCAGAAACACAGAACTGGTGTGAAGGAGCAAATGAAGGGAGGGAAAACTGCACTGTCACCTGGAGTTCACACCGTCCCGCTGAGAATCAGATCTATTTGCTACCTGAACCTCATGATCTATAAAAAGGCAATGGGCATTTCTAAAAATGGACTGAATGCACTGGGAATGTAATTAAAACTAGAAATACTGGAGGTGGATGCTCAACGATCACCCTGTCCATGCTGCTCACAGGCTCTTAGGACATGACAGCTAAATTTAATCTCATGTCCGAAGACAGTGTATCTCTGATCACAAGTTTCTGGAGAAAGGGAAAAACGGGCGAGAACGATCATCTCCATGTCCTGTCTTTAAGCAGGGGCTGAGAACCTTCAGCCTTTTTGGCTCACAGAACTCATCAGCAGTACCCAATGTGAAGGGAACATGGAAGCTGATGCTCAAAACATCTGGGCAGCTGATGGTTCCTCATCATTGTATGTGAAATGAGAGTGGGAAATGTCTTTCAACGCAAGGGTCAATTTCAGTTTTCAAAAGGTTCTCGAGGCCACATTGTGTTGGGAGGGGCAATGACAAAAGCGTAGGGCTAGAGATGAACACAATTCACCGATTCGATGGTTTGTGCTGATTCGCTTCTCAGGTGTCTGGTGCTTCCCAGCCCTCCCTCCTCCGGTGGGCACCCATTCGGAGGCAGAACCCCCATCTTCCCTGCCCCACCTCCTCTGGTACTGCCTCCAAATGGGTGCCCACCAGAGGAGGCGGGGCTAGGAAGCACCAGACACCCGTTCGACTGAGAAACGAACCAGCACGAACCGACGAACTGGCAGTTCGTCCGTATCTCTATGTGAAAGCCTATTTTAGCTTAGATATCTTACTGCCAGTAAGTACATGTTAAGAGAGGCATCTGAACCTGGTAGTGTGGGGAGAAGGCATATCAAAAAAAAAAGGGGGGATCCTAAATGATTGTATGCAAGGAGGTAAACATGACCACCTGGGGAAATCTAAACGGCTAGTCAGCAATCTCAGAAGGGGAGGATTTGAACCCACAGTCGGAGGTTTTTCACCCTCGCTGTAGAGCATTTGAAGGCAAATAGCTGGTAACTCTTGAAAATAGGAAGTTGAACTCAGCCAACCAGAGTAATAATAATAAGCCTAGAACTGCAGAGATGGAAGAGACCCCAAGGATCATCACATCCAGCCCTTGGAAACACAGTGAGGAATCAAACTCCCAGCCACTGACTTCGCAGCCAGAAACCTAAACCACTGAGCTACGCTGCCGTTCGAGAACAGTGGGACTTATACAAAGGATGGCAAACGTGCCCCATGTATTTCAGTTGATGTACAGTGGTGCCTCGCATAGCGAGGTTAATCCGTTCCGGATTAACCTTCGCTATGCTGAAGCATCGTTAAACGGTACAGAAAAGCCCATTAGAACGCATTAAACATGGTTTAATGCGTTCCAAATGGGCCAAATACTCACCGTTCAATGAAGCTTCGTAATGGCCAGCAGCCATTTTCGCGCCCTCGCCTCGCTTAACGAGGGCGCGAAAACGCTGCGGGCGGCCATTTTAGGCCATTTCCCGGCGTCCGGCGGCCATTTTGGCTGTCGAACAGCTGATCGGCGGGGGTCGTTTTGCGAAGATCGGTAAGCGAAACGCTTACCGGTCTTCGCAAAGCGAATTTTTCCCTATGGGAACAACGTTGTGCGATTTAATCGTTATACGGTGCGCTCGTTAAGCGAGGCACCACTGTACTTTAATTGGCCATTGGCCTGTCCTCTTTCTCTCTCTCTCTCTTTGTAGAAAGGCAGAAAAAAAGGAATGCTGGGAGTAAGCTCTAAAAATGCCACTGTTGTTCTTACCAGGAGGAACATGCATAAACAGAGACAGAGGGGAAAGAAAGAGAGGAGAAACCTCACATGATTAATTAGCAGACAAGCGAACAAGATGTAGCAGATTGACAAACCTTCGTATGATCAAAGATTAGCAGCAACAAATAACTTGCAGGGGGCTCGGGGGCCTTAGCAAATAAAGATACCGAAAGTATGTAGATCAAATGTGGGGGTCACATTTCAGAGGGAAATTAATTGGAAGTAGTCTCCACATACATATGGAAGGGTTTTCTCTTTTAACACTGCGTTTCCTTCCACGGCAGCCCCTTCGTACTAAATGGGTGCTCCCAACTTCTGGTTCATGGAAATAACATTTTTGATGTTCCTTGAACTATAATTTGCTCAGTCCGCTGCACTCACCAACTCCTCCCCTCCCCCCAAAAAAATAAACCAAAGGCCACCAAATTCGCCCACAAGCCAAGTTTAAACCTCGAACATTTGAGCAACATTTGATCTATAGGAAACAGCTGCGGCGGAGTGCAAGCGCTCTCTCTTTGAACGGACCCGAAGCGTATTTTTTGCATCAATGCATTTGGAAGTCATGACCGGCAAAATTAGGGTCGATTTGTAAATCCGCTTGCAAAATCTGTCCGGAATCTGAAGGATTCGGATGGGGTGGGGTGAACAATATCAATTTAATGGTATGCCCACGAGAAGCTCACTAAAGCATGCTCTCTAGGGGATAGCTGGTGGGGGCTGGCTTTGGCACCCCCAAATGCTGTGGGTTTACCAGAGCTCTCTCCCAGAATATTTCGCCCCAGACACCCACTCACAGTGGAGCAAAAGGAACTGTACTTATTCAAGTTTGCCTACTTCTGCCGGTGAGAATATTTTCATAAATTGAGGAAAAGTGTTTCTCTTTCAACACGAGCTGTGAAGATCAGGTTTCCCTTATCAGGAAAAGTGTCTGCAAAACCAAAAGGAGCAACGTCTCTCCTAATTAACTCTCCAAAAAAAACGGAGATAAGTGATTATTTGTTCCCGGCGCAAACTGCAGAATTCCAGGTGTGATTTGACATTCACCTGGAGGGGAAAAAAATCAAGGCAGGAGCTTAAGAAGCGGGTGTTGAACTAACCTTTAAAATTTCAACTTTAACACCTTCCCACTCCTTACCTTCCTGCAGTGCAACAAAGAGTCTTATTATATTCTCCAGCACCGGAGACAAGAAAAAAAAGAGTTCAGGAATTATTTGGAAGGGGGAAAAAAAGGTAAATCTGAAAATGCACTCATTCTTCCCTAGGTCTTGTGGGGGAAGGAAGAGGGTTAGAGGAGGGGCTTTTTGGTTGATATTTTTTTTGGTTCTCTGCTCAGCTTGTCATGATACATCATTTGTGACATTTACAAGATCGAATTATCTGAGGAAGTTACACCAGTTCTAAAATTTGAGCGTCTCATGGTGCAAAGTTCTAAAGCAACATGCTAAGCATGTCTGGGGGAACATGCTTAGATTTCTCCTCCCTGCCATTAGAAATCCTGCAACTTCTGGGGCTTGCGTGCGTGACCCTCCAACCATATACACACGTTGTCTATGAATGTCCCAGCAGGGCTAAGATGCTCCTGAATTTTGCCGGTGATCCTTACCACGCTACAATTAGTGCTAAGTTTTGTAAGGGCATTGGAAGCAATGCTAGCATTCTATGCTACAGCGAGGAACATGTACAGCAGAATACAGTGGTGCCTCGCAAGACGAATTTAATTGGTTCCATGGTTAATGCTGTCTTGCGAAAAATTCATCTTGCGAAACGCGTTTTCCCATAGGAATGCGCTGAAATCTAATTAATGCATTCCTATGGACAAAAAAAGTCAGAACAAAGTCAAATTTGGTTTACAAAGGGTTTATTCAGTGCTCTTTAAAGCCATACATATTGTGCACATGATTTCAAAAATATCAATCAAAAAACTTTTAACTTTTTTAAACATCATAGAAAAACATTTAAAAATCAGCAAACGTGAGGCAGGAACAAAAAACGGAAAACATTCGTCATGCGAAGCATGGCCATAGGAACATTCGTCTTGCGAGTCATCAACCCCTATCACCAAAACCATTCGTCTTGCGAGTTTTTTTGTCCCACGAGGCATTCGTCTTGCAAGGCACCACTGTACATGATTTGGGGAGGTGACTGAGCGTTTTGTTGGGACCACAATTGTACATTGACACACAGCAGAATGTCAGTGCTTCATTCTCGCATCGAATGGTGTCCTATATTCACTGGCTAATCCCAACTAAAGGGGACTCTCTGACTAAGTGGGATTTATCTGGACCCTGGATTATGATTCAGTAATGGGTTCAGTGGATCTACTCTAGCAATGAGATCCAGACCAACATCTCCACACGCCTCTACATTAGTCAAGCGGAAGTGCCTGAAGGACATTAGCTCAGCGCTAATTGAAGATGGTCCTGCTATGGAGCACAGGGGTGAGAATCAGACTCATGAACCCTTTTCATGTCCAACCTTTAAACAAGGCCTCAGCAACTCCTGGGTCTAGTTTTATGATACTTCTAATCTCATTTCAAGAGCTTGAAGCAAAAGATCAGTTCAGATTTCAGGAAAAAAAACCCACATTTGACCATTTTCCAAGTTATATCACTGGGTCAGGAAGGGAAGGGAGGAAAAGAGGAAGTGGAGAGAGAAAGAGGACAGGTGACTCATTCACCTTTGTCTGTGGTCTCATCCATCACTGGTGTGTCCCATCTCTGAAACAATGACTCATGAGAGAAGGTGGCCTTAAGTAGAAAAAAGCTTTATTGCTTCTGGATTCAACAAACCACACAAATTCCTGTTTAGAGGCCTTTTCGTGGGGGCTCCTCTCGTCCCAAATTGGGATAACAAGTCAAGGAACGTAAGGGGCGTAAGTCAACATAAGGGACTTTTTAGTGGTGGCTTTCCACTGTGAAACCAAGCCTGTTCAATTCATTCTAAATAGGGTTGAGAAGAGGTCTCTGGATTCCCTTCAGAGGCCAACTTGGAGGTTCAGAATGGATCCCGATTCAGGCTAGTCCTCCCATTCAATGGGTGTGCCCACTCCAAGGCAGTTTGGTCAATTCAGATCCTCTGCATCACTGGGGTGCCCGAAAGGACAATTAGCAGACATCACAGACCCTGATGTGGAGAACAAACCTCCCAAATATTAGGCACCTAGCTTTGGGATTGATGTACCAAGCATTGTTAACTTTTGCTTCCTCCCCTGTCCCCCCCCAAAATGCTAATCTATGTCCAGATGTGTCATGATTTCCAGATCTGCTCTGCTTCCTCCCACAATTGAATATGTCTTTTCCACTTCACTTTTGGACCTTACACAAATTGGGTCCAAATCAGGCTAATTCACTTAGTAACCTGGATTTTGTCCAGTGAACAACGCACTGGAAGGACAGGATCCAAGCACTAGTGCAGAATGTCCATGGGGTGGAGGCAACAGGGTTGAATAGCTCCAGTGACGTGTAGCTTAAATGTCAACTTAACTTTTCAATCTCCCCCAGGATTCCACTATTTTGGACTTGCTGTTTTTTGGCATTAAGTATTTTCCACTTGGTTTTTTTGTTTTTCTCGTATGTTGCCATTTTCCCCATGGTAATGTGCTTTCTGACATGATTTCATTAGAAGTCACACCAGAAACGGATTGAAGGAGGCAGGATTTTTTAAAAAAGTAAAATGAACTGAAGACTTTGCGTGGATCAAGCATCTGACCCAAAAAATGTTTCACTGGATCACAGGAACCCAACCATAAAATTCTCAGAGTCTACCAACAAAAGCATGTAGGCATACAATCTCCTGACTTGCAGCATCTACAAACCACATGGGAGGGGAAAGTAACCGACAGATTATTGTGTCTTGTAAACAGTTGACTTGTAGAGTTTTTACTGCCGAACCATGACTGTCCTCCAACTTGGGAAGGTACCTGTGAGGATCAAGGTAGAGGAAATTGTGAGTAAATGGAAGGGGCCCCCATTATGTATCTGAATATTACCGAGCATCAAGTAGCAATCCCCTTGGTATAGGGGCACAGCCAACCCCGGGGTCTTTATGTCCCAAGCAACTTTCAAGGCGACGTGCCAGACGGCTGGATCTCTGCCACACCACGCCTCTTTCTCATGACTGTCGGGTTCTGAAAAGGAAAAACAAGAGCTTTTCTCACTTTTAATTACAGCCTATAAAGATCTGCATGAGCAGCTTCATTTCTGGGTGGGCACAGCTATATATATATATATGGATAGCCAGTGTGGTGTAAAGCAGTGTTCCCCAACCTTGGGCCTCCAGATGTTGTTGGACTTCAGCTCCCAGAAATCCTGGCCAGCAGAAGTGGTGGCAAAGGCTTCTGGGAGGTGTAGTCCAAGCACATCTGGAGGCTCAAGATTGGGGACCACTGGTGTAAAGGATAGAGAGACTGACTAGGACTCAGGAGAAGTGGGTTCAAATCCCCGCTTGACCGCGGGAATTTTAGGGGCATTGATAAAAGCACTCTAGTGGGTTCAAATCCCCGTTTGACCGCGAGAATTTTAGGGGCATTGATAAAAGCACTCTTGAAATATCCCTCTTGCCTTGAACGTCCAACTAGGATCAGAGTAAGTCAGTTCTAACCAGGCAGCACGTGGCAGACGACAGAATCCCCTATATTATTTGGGTTGATCTGGGAGCCTAGTATTCTGCCCATGCCCCATGGAACACCCTCTGTGATGGTTCAGTGTTGCCCCAGAGGAGAGGATAAACATGTTCACGTGAGAATCTGATCTACCTGGAGCTAAGGCCAGCAGAATACATGATCTCCTGGTCACTTGGCCGGATGCCACCTTCTGTTTCACAGAGGGAGAAAATTAGGATGCAGAATGCAATGCATTGGCACCTTGGTTTTCTGTTGATTGCCACATTCTTTATGGAGGTAACCAGTCAGGGGACATGTGCCAGCGGTGGAGGGGGGGAGTTCCAAGCAACCAGCGGAGTGGAGCTAGGGAGAATAATAAGTGATGATTCAGCCCCTTTCTCTTCTTTCATCTCTCGCTCTTCTCTCTTTCCACCTGCTTCTCTACTTCCCTCTCCCAGTAGCGAATTTGACCCAGAGCAAACCAATGGCAACAAACTTTCGTAATTAGACGGAAACAGCAAAATATCCACCCTTTCTACAGACAAACATGCAAGACGAGCGAAGTGTTTTGAACATACAACCTTATTTGCAATGTCTTAATCTTCCTTTAATACTTACTTATCCCCTAAACAAGCAGAATCGGGAAGTTTTAATTAGGCAGAAGACTAGACACGAGGAAGCAGTCCGAATTCTACATTCTCCTTTTAAAATTTCTAGGAAAAACAAATCCTTTGGAAAAAATCTTTGAATATTTATCTGCAAACCCTTAGTTCTAATATATTCCTGGTTTGGCTTACATTATCCCACGGTTGATTTTTAACTTTTCCCTCAGGATGGATTTTGCTAGCGCAGTTCTCTAGAGGTTTTCGGCTTCAGTTCCCATCAGCTTCAGGCAACAAGGCCAAAACTCAGATATCTTGGGAAATGTGGATTTTTTAAAAAAATCTGGGGAACAACTGGTTAGGAAAAGGTGTGCTAACTGGGATGAACACATCACCAACACTACAAAATCCTCTTTTCGAAGGAATCCGGGTAACTGTCTTTTGCCAAGCTTGACCACTAGTCCTCAAGGGTCTCCCAGATGCAGCTGGAGATGCTGAGGGGGGTCACAAATGGGACTTGGGATAGAAAGCTTCACTTAATTGTCTTCTCAGTTGAGAACAAGGAACTGCTCTGATCTTTTCTGCATCAAAGAGAACGACAAGGAATGAAGGAGAACATTGAGGAATTACGCAGAGGCCCTTGGAACTGAAAATACTTGGAGCAAATTGCCCGGGTTGCAAAATTTGTGTACAACTCACGACCAATACCTTGTTTCATGGAAATTAAAGAAGCTCAAGCATCGGATGAGTTGCTTGTATCTTTCTTAAGGTTCAGTCAGTCTTTGCATGACGGCATTGTTTGTGTGTGTGCTCCTCTTCTGAGACGAGATGGTTAAATGACGGGGAATCAAGGAGAACATTGAGAACGCAGAGGCCCTTGGAAGTGAAAATACTTGGAGCAAATTGCCCGGGTTGCAAAATTTGTGTACAACTCACAACCAATACCTTGTTTCATGGAAATTAAAGAAGCTGAAGCATCGGATGAGTTGCTTGTATCTTTCTTAAGGTTCAGTCAGTCTTTGCATGACGGCATTGTTTGTGTGTGTGCTTCTCTTCTGAGACGAGATGGTTTGCATTAATTATGGAGACATTATAGGGGGAAAGAGACCAAGTCTTGGTCTCAGCTGGAGGCAAGAAATTTGAGGGTGGCTTTCAAATTACTTGTCCAAACGTTTCACTGAGTCAATACAGTTTAAGCTAACAAGGCTGAGAAGTTTACTAAGTGTGCTTCACCAAGTGAAGTTTACCTAGTGCAGATCATGAGCCACATGACCGAGTGATGGAATAAAGTGGTCTTCGAATTTGACGCTTTGAACCAGCTTGCTTCCAACGGCTTCCAAAACTAGCACCATGGGATTAATCTGTTTCAAGTGTTGAGGATAATTATAAGGCAGGTTAGGTTCAGAGCGATCGGTAGGGCAGTGTGTGAAACAAATTTGAACTCCACGCTCCAGCAATAAAAAGAGAGGCAGGGAGGAATATCAAACTGAAAAAGGGGGAGGAGAGAGAGAGAGAGGAAGCTGCTTCTTAACAAGCACAATGAAAAGGCGCTGGAATTTTGCGAGGGAACCCCAGGAAGCATGAACTGAAATCGCTGTCTCCGATTCTCCTTCCACATTTTACTGAGGCCATGTTGGCAATGGGAGATGGATGTCGGGACGCGTGGGGAAAAGCAGGCGCGCCGGCAGATTGAGCCCACTGCACAAGGATACCACTTTCGTACAACCTCCAGATGGGGTGGCAGAACAAGTGACGGGAAAGCAAGCCGCAGCTGCCGTTTCCAGGAAACTTTCCGCCACTCTAATACGGAAGTTGAGATTCAATTAAAAAGGAGATTAAAACAGCCCCAGCGCCCTCTGAAAGCTGCTCGTATTGATTTGGTCCGTGGCATTGCTTTTCAAGCTTTGCTGGCAAGCGTGGCTCCTCTTACTGACGTTTTCTTGCATAGATGATTTACTTATGCAACGTTTTTAGTGTTTTTATCTTAACTCTTGGTTATACAGTGGTGCCCCGCTTGACGATGACCCCGTTAGACGACGAAATCACTTTACGATGACTTTTTTGCAATCGCTATAGCGATTGCAAAACAATGTTTCTATGGGTTTTTTTCGCTTCATGTTGATTTGGTCACTGCTTCGGGAACCATTTTTTCACTGGACGACGATTAAAAACAGCTGATCAGTGGTTCGCAAAATAGCTCCCCGCTGTTTTCCGGACCGATTGTTTGCAAGACAGTGATAAAAAATGGCTTCCCCTATGGAGGATCTTCGCTGGACGATGAGGTATTTCCCCCACTGGAATGCATTAACCGGTTTTCAATGCATTCCAATGGGTTTTTTTCCGCTTGACGACGATTTCGCTTAACAGTGATTTTCCTGGAACGGATTATCGTCATCAAGCGGGGCACCACTGTATATGATATTTATTGTAAACTGCCAGGGTAGTGCCCTGGCACTACTTGGGAGAGGTAAGTAAGTAAGTACATTGTTTGTGTGTTTATTTGTGTTCATTCATTCATTTTCTTTCATAGTGCAAAGCACTATTTTCCACCTCTTCCATGGAAGGAAGAAAAGAACTGCAGGAGCCAGGTCTGCATGAATGCTTTCACACACACATATGCGTGCAGTTGGGTCCCTTTTTATTTTACTTAAAATCAACTGGGAAATCATTTTCATACTTTACGACTGACTTGTAAAGCTCCAATCTAAATAAACATCGCAAGGCCAACCCACCACGTGATGGATGGCTTGAATGCAGAGAAACCAGGAGGTCAGGAGCAGTCAGTCTGTCTGCATGGGTGAAATAATGAAAGTTATAAATCTTTCTGGCCCTCTCCCTTCCCTGTTTTGGGGTTTCGAAATGAATAAGGATTTTTTTTAAGCATTTGTAGAAAAATATTGGATGGACACCTGCTTGCGTGCATCATGAACCTGGCAATCTCATTTTCACACCAAGCTAGATGGCTATCGCTGGTTCGCAGTGGGTTTATCTGTAGGCACCGATTCCTGGCTCATTAACACCCCTGCCCAGGAACAACACTAGAATCATGGCTGGCCCCTTGTTCAACAAATAGGAAATCTACAAATCGCAAGGATTTTGATGGAACTATTAGCTTGGTGTGTAGCCAAAACCAAAGCAAAACAGAGCAGATCCGAACACCGTCAAAGGGCGTCCACCTTTTCCAAGTTTGGAAAAGTTCCTTTTTGAATTACAAAACCGCCGGCTCAAGGATTCTCATCTCTGCCCTACATGGTTGAGTTGGCCCCACTCTGAAAACGATCGCTTGCTATTTCTAGAGATGGCATCTTTAAAGACCTTATTACACCTGGGGGTGGGGGAGAGAAAAATATATACCCTTCTTTGAGGGCATGCAGCAATGTGTCATTGCATAGAGCAATGGAGTAGGACTCAGGAGTCCTGGGTTCAAATCTTGCCTCAGCCATGGAAACCCACTGGGTGAGCAGAACTGGTAAAAAACACTCCCTAAATATCTCACTTACCTTGAAAGCCCTATTAGGGTTACTATAAATCAGTTCCAACTTGACGGCACATAAAAACTACAACAACAAAATTTGTTACCAGCTGCGCATAGCGCAATGGAGTAGGACTCAGGAGTCCTGGATTCAAATCTTGCCTCAGCCATGGAAACCCACTGGGTGAGCAGAACTGGTAAAAAACACTCCCTAAATATCTCACTTACCTTGAAAGCCCTATTAGGGTTACTATAAATCAGTTCCAACTTGACGGCACATAAAAACTACAACAACAAAATTTGTTACCAGCTGTACAAATTGCTCTTAACTGACCTTGCATCTATTAAGCAGCCAATAGAGGAGATTACTGGTCAATTATCAATCCAAGAGAACAGTCCAGTTAGTTTATAAAGTCATTAGGAAGGGAAGAAGCTGCTAGCGTTTCTCACCT